GGGTGTCATCCGGTCCCAGAGCAGCACCCAGCCCAGTGGTGAGCCCCAGCACCCGCTTTCCCCCCCTCCCCTCATTCCAACAGCCCCACCTCACCCTTTTCCCATTGGATTTGCTTCAGAGCGGGATAAAAAGAAGCGGAAAGAGGAAACCAAAAGCAAAACCCCAGCCCAGGAGAAACCCCAAGAGGCCAAAGCGGAGGCTAAAAGCGAGGAGATGCCGGAGAAGAAGCGGGAGAAACCCAAATCCCTGCGGACCACAGCACCCAGCCACGCCAAGTTCCGCTCCACAGGTCATTCCCAGGGGAATTCTGGCCTCTCTGAGGGGGGAATTTGAGGCCTCCTGCCGGGGATTTCTGGCCTCTCGGAGTGGGAAATTTGAGGCCTCCTGCCCCCCCTCCCTTGCAGCATCCCCCCCTAACAGTGATCCCTCCTCACCGTGGCAGGGCTGGAAATGGAGACACCTTCGTTAGTGCCCTTGAAGAAGATGAACTCTGCTTCCAGCGCCGAGAAGTACAACCTGAAGCCGATGCCCATCAAGAGGCAAAAGTGAGGCTGGGGAGGACATGGGGCAGCTTTTGGGGGGGTCCCAGGGCTGGTTTTTAGGGTGCTCAGGGCTGCTTTGGGGGTCCCAGGGCTGGTTTTGGGTGTCTTGGGGCAGGTTTGCAGTGTCTTGGGGCTGGTTTAGGGTGCTCAGGGCTAGTTTTAGGAGGCTTAGGGCAGGTTTGGGGTGTCTCAGGGCTGGTTTTAGGGGGCTTAGGGCAGGGGCTGGTGTTTAGGGTGCTCAGGGCTGCTTTTGGGTGCTCAGGGCTGGTTTTAGGGTGCTCAGAGCTGGTTTTGGGTGCTCAGGGCTGGTTTTAGGGTGCTCAGAGCTGGTTTTGGGTGCTCAGGGCTGGTTTTAGGGTGCTCAGAGCTGGTTTTGGGTGCTCAGGGCTGGTTTTAGGGGGCTCAGGACCACGTTTGGGTGCCCTTCTCCTCACCCCCTGCCTCCTGCAGCCTCTCCTCCGTGGCCGGTGACGTTCCTCCTGCCGAGAAGAAGTACAAGCCCCTGAACACGGCTCCCA